CGTAGTTCATTGACTCTGGAGGACAAAGGCTGGCCTAAATGATTCAGCTGAATGCACATCAACATCTGAATAAGCCTTCTACCCCCAAGTCCTCTCTGGCTACTCATTCTTGCATTATGAACCGCCTTTCTGAGAGTGGGCATGACTGCGAATAGGAACCTGGACTTGGAATGAAGGAGGTGGGTTCACGTTACATGTCTGCTATGCCTTGGCCTAAGCCAATCACCATCACTTGGCCTCCACTTCCCCTACAGTAGATGGGAGTGACAGAAGAGGCATTGGGTAGGGGAACTTTAATGAAGCTGATAAAGCATTTTGCACGAAGCGCTATGCAAAACAATGCACAGAAATAGTAATCTGTTGAATCAGAAACTAAAAACAGGAACGTATCCCACCATCTGCTTCTCATTATGAATCCTGTAGGGCACACAAGGAACTGCATTTGCTCAGGCCAAACAGTTTGTCTATCTCGCTCAGTACAGTCTTTCTGGCTGGAAACAACTCATCAAAGTTTCAGGTAAAGAGGAGTCTTTTTTACCATTTTGCCCAGAGCTAAACCAAGCCTTTTGCACAAGAAGCCTGTAATCCCATGCCCGTTTGCCAATCTGCTTTCGCTTCTGGCCATGGGTTTATTATTTCACACCTGAGGGTCCTGCCATTTGCTAGTGAAGGAAGCAATCAGCAGCAAGCAACTTGGATTTTTTTCTCTAGAAATCCTCCCAGTTTAAGCACATTTAGCCACATGCCCTCCTCTTGAAAGATATGCATCTGAAGTAAATTACAAATGGCTCCCCAAAATGAGGGCCTTTGAAACCTTCTTTGAAAAGTCAACATGGAAAGCACGAAACCTAGCATAAGAAGAACTCTGTCGGTTTAGTGCAAAGGATTATGTAGTCCGTAGTAGGGTTTTTGGCCCTCCAGGGTTTCTTGGAATCCACCTCTCCCAATAATCCCGGGCAATACAGCCGAAGTTCAGAGATAATAGGGGCTGTAGTGCAAACACCGCTGTTGGGCCACCAACCTCCTCACTTTAGTAGTCCATCCTGTTTCAAAACGGTATCACCTTTATGTTTCTGGAAAGCCTACAAGCAGGGTTGAAGCCAGCAGCCTTTCCTTTTTGTATGCATTTGGGGTTAGAAGGGAAACTGACTCTGAATGTGGTGATTCCATTGGACAGCCTGTGATAGATCTGCCCATTTCTATGAATTGGCCTGTCTTTCTGCACTACTACCAAACGAGCAGCTATCTCCCTGTCCAGTGACTGTGAACTGCATAAACCAGTTATGCTTTTTCATGCTTTTTTTCAAGCATGGGCAACCCATTTCATTGGGTGAGCTTAATTTAAAGTATTATGAGATACTCTCTGTGTGGTGGCTGTGGTGGGGTGACAGGAAGGTTCAGGAAGGATAACTATGTGTCAGTTATCGTTTTAGGAATAACTACCACGTCTTTCTTGCAAACAAACAAACAAAAACAGGAAAAACAAACATCAAATGCCTTCATCCAAAAGTAAGATCTACCAGGGGCTCCATCGCAGGGGATTTTTGAATATGCCACACCCATTGAGGAAATGCCAAATTGCTTCCGAACAAAAGCCAAGTACTGTAGCTTTCTACCTTTTCTTTAAACAAATTGCACTCCGATCCAGTCAAGAAGAGCCTTAGGGCAGAATAGCGGATTAAAATTGGAGAATTCCAGAAAATCCTGTTAACGTGTAAGGAACAGGTGGGTGTGGCAGCTTCTGCTATGGCACCCAAGCCTAGAGAAATTGAGTTAAATTCTGCCGTTTGAAAACCTGCCCAATTTGATTCCAAATCACCACGAAAGCAGCTGGGAAAAGAGTCCTTTGTCTGGACTGCAATTTTATTTTTTTTTAATCAGGGGTTGCTTTGGCTGTTGGTCAGAAGAAACTAAATGCTATTTTCTTAAGATAACAGGAAGCTTGCAGACTGATAACCACTCACAAGACACATCAGGGGATTTGATGTCACTGCCCAGATTACTTAAATAAATTATTGTGTGGGGGGGGAGGGAATTATAAATGGTTCTCCTTATGGACAAGAAACAACAGGTACCTTTCTGCAACGGTTACTGATATACCCAGATGCTCAACACCATTAACTTTTATGGGCTGTTATAATGCATGATTAATGTGAGAAAAGCCAAAAGTGGAGAGTAGGAGAGGATACAGATTTTATTTCATAAAAAATATATGGATTTGAATACTGTTTTTTTCCCTTTCAGTTTATTTCTCAGAGTTGCTGCCTTGCAAATTAGATTTCATGCCACTCCACCCTCCTTGAACTCAGTGGGACATTTCTGAGCAGATATTGCACTGCATTTTGGGACTCTTGAGTTTCAACATCAAAAGAAAAAGATGCTTATAGTTACTTCTGACTCCTCTGTCAAAACAAACCAGGTTTGTTTTTAAGAAATCAGAATTAAAAAGAGTTTCACATTTGATCCAGGTTGCGTCCCCTTCTTCTAAAAATGCTTTTTTAAATAAGTTGTCCACAAGACAAAAGGAAATGTGATATTTGCATTATTCAGTGCTATTTTGAAAAATGATGAGGGGATAGGGGAAAATATGTTGAGAAGCTAATCTCCAGCTTTTAAAACAAATGAAAAAAGAAGCAGGAAAGAAGCTAATTTCCATTCAACAAAGATTAACAGGCAACCCCATTATTCTAAATTCAGCCTTTGTTCTCTGAGCCTGATGTGACTCTTCATATGTTCATTCATGACTGTTTTGTTAATAGTTTTGCCCCTAAGCCGTTGTTTCCACAGTTTCAGAATTCAGCAAAGAATGCACCCATGCCTGCTTTATGAATGGGAGAAGAATAGAGGAAGGTGGACCCATTTGCTTTCAAGAGAAACCCAGCAAAGCTGTCCATCCATTCTACACATCTGTTTTAAAAACCTACTATCTATCCACTACTCCAGAAATAAATACAAAGCCCTCCTTCCTCACCAGTTTGGTTATTTTACACTTGTACATGATGCGAGCAAGCAAAATAAGGTTCTCCCAGCTGTCAAGCCACCCAACGTCTCAGCAGCAACAAAAATCCCCATAATGTGGAGAAATATTTGCTGATGAAGGAGCCAATTCACAAATTTTCCATCTTTCTACCATCACGCTGCCCCCAGCCAGCTTCTCTAGGGGGAAGCAGAAATAACTTCAACAGACAATACCAAGCACGAGATATTCTTCTTTAAATGTGGGTGGAATTTCTCTTCTCCCCATCCTGGTGAATATAT